TGGCACCGGCATTTTTTAATCTAAACGGCATTACATTATAACAGTATGTGCCATTTTTGGTGATGAAAAAGGTTTTTTCCTGATCACCCAGGTCCATCCGTATTTGGTTATTCTCATAATAGGCATCGAGAAAATTGAGGATCTCGTGGCCGGTCGTGGCATCGATCATACGATCGACGTTGGGCAAAGGAAAAGAGTCTTTGGGGCATACTTTATTCAAATCTTTGTAATCTACACACATTCTTAGTTTATTTCCTTTTTTAGGGACTACCCCTACGTTTGCTAACCAATCTGGGTATTTAACCTCCTGAATGGACCCTATTTTTAGGAGTTTAGATACCTCATACTTGATGAAAGCATGTTTGACCTCAAACTGGGGCCTCTTCTTTTGCTTGAGCGGATTAATTTTTGGGTCCAAGCTTAGTCCGTGAGTGGTTATTTCTGGTAGGATCCTTTTCATATCAAGATGGGCCCAAGCAAAATAATCTATTTTAACTATAAGAAATTGAATAATTTTTTTCCAGAGCTCGGGAGGTAGTCTCGTGCCCAAGTATACATTTTGATCGGGCAAATGCTCGATTAATATAACTTTTTCCAGCTCTTCAACCGTCGATTTGGTTGCGTCAGAGTCATCGAGGGTTATAAAAGATCGGGGAACCCCGTAATCATCGACTTCGTAAGTCTTTTGCTTATCTGATTGGATCGTTACCAGAATTGGTAATTGCTATTTGGCCTCTAGGTTGGCGCCAGAATTCGGTTCCTTTGGTGTTGTGAGCATTGATATCAGAACCACTTCTTCGATGGAAAACATCTCTTTTACGACCGGTTGTTCCCCGTAGATTGTCTTGATTCCTCTTGGGACTGGGAATTTTAACACTTGGTAAAGATTTGAGGGTACTGCCCTCATGTGGTGGATCCACGGTCTTCCGAGAAGGGCTTTGTACCTTATGTCTCCTTTGATTACATAAAACTTGGCCTCTTGTACGATTCCGGTGGTATTGAACAGTAATGTTATCTCTCCTTTGGTGGTTTCACATGCCATGTTGAAGCCGTTTAGGACTCGGACTGCTGGCATGATCCTGTCTTGTAGACTGGGCTGTTCTACAACCTTCGATCGAATAATGTTGGCCGAGCTACCTGGATCAATTAACACATGTTTGATTCTAGTTTTATTTACGAGTACAGATATTACTAGTGCCTTATTGTGAGATTGTATGATCCCTTTTGTGTCCTCGTCACTGAAGGATAAGGCTCCTTCCGGTATGTAGTCTCGAGTTTGTTTCTCCCTGGTGACGGAGATTCTGGTGCGTTTCAACATTGGCCCTTGTGGGATGTCGACTCCACAGATGATCATATTTATGATGTGTTGAGGTTCAATATCTTCTTGCCATGTTTGTTTGTTAGAATCCCTGTTTCTAAAGTCTTGGCTCGGTCACTCAAGAATTCTCGAAGGTATCCATTATTGAATAAACAGGCTACTTTTCTCTCAGCTGTCGACAATCTTCCGTTCTATGATCGTGAGTACCATGATATTTGCACATATGGTCCCTTTGAGCTAGATCAGATTGTAGAGGTCGAGACCATTTGGTATCACTAATGCGCCCGATAGCAGATATGATGGCGGTAACATCAATATTAAAGTTGTATTTTGATAGCCTCGGTGCTTCTTTAGGCCCGAGAGACCTGTCGAAGCAATTATTGGTCATGAGTCCCCGGTTGCTTCGACCTCGATCACTTCTCCTGTCATTTCTTACGGGGTTCCTCCCCGACCCACTGCTCCTTCGATCTCCATTATAGGGCTGATATCGATCCCCGTTTGATCCTGATTCACGATCGATGTCCCTCTTGGATCTATCGAGAGTCCTGGCAGGATATATAGACTTAGAAGGTGCCCCGAGTTGATGATCTTCGACTCTGATTTTCGATTGATACCGATTGTGTACATCGGTCCAGGTAACGGTAGGGTATTCTATCAAGGTTTGCTTTAATTCCCGTGAAGCCACCGAGCTTCGAATATTGAGTCCCTAAGTGAAAGCCTGAACAGCCCAATCATCAGCGACCGGCGACAGATCCACTCGTTCCATTTGAAAACGGGACACAAACCCCATGAGCATCTCGTTCTCCTTTTGTTTGACTTTGAAAAAGTCTGATTTCCTAGTTTTGACCTTGATGCCACCGGCATGAGCTTTTACGAAAGAGTGTGCAAGCATAGCAAATGAGTCAATAGAATTAGGGTAAGTTGTGATACCATATCATGGCTCCCTTCGACAAGGTCTCTATCACTCTCAAATGCACACGCAAGTATACGTGGTCGTACAAGTAATAAAATGATAAGTCGAGTGTCGAACCCACAAAGACTTGTATCAACTACCCACTAAATTCACAAAGATTGTTATTTAGTCAAGCCAAATTCGAGTTCAAGAATGTGATTATACTAAACTATAATTCTAAGTAGTAACTAAATTATCAAGTAGCAAAATAATTGTGGTGTATTCAGTAGAGACAAATGTTCCAGGGTTGTGATCGATTCACCAATTCTATTGTGTTCTAGTTAACTTTTCCTTTCATACAATTCACGCATGGTTGCTAATTAATTGATAATTGCTATCATAGCCTTCTCCTGAAGTACTACTCGCCTATTCAGAATAGATTAACGCTTATATTCCTATGGAATCAATCTATTAATAACGCATTAAGATTACAATATTTAATTAAGCACAGTGACTAGGTATATTCCTATTCTAACCACAAATCTGGCCCCCTAAGAGTTAAGATCATGCTCTCTTCAATTCTTCTCTAATCTAAACATGGCTTTCCCAAGCATAGCATAGATAGTAAATAGAACCTAACTGCTGGCCAGACAATTAAGCAATTAATCACAGAATTGAAGAAACAACCATATATTAGTGAATTGTAATCAAGGTTAAGTCAACGTTAAACAACAATATTCATGGCTAAATCACAACCCCAGAACTATGGGTTTTATCCACTCATGATAATAGCAAACAATTTCATAAGTGTTTGGATAATTGAAAATATTAAGAAAAGATGAAGAAAACTGAGTTCTCTTCACTCCCGAATGTTTCTCGTATGTCTTCTCCCTTCAAAGTGGCGTCTACCCTCTAAAAATAAGCTTTATCTTGCTTTTATACGTGTTGGGTAGGTCTAGGGCCGAAATAACCTTGTCCCGGGCAAAGTTGGACAAAATGCACGCCACCAGCGCCCAGCCTAGCGCTAACAATTTGCCAACACTGCCTCTGGCGCCATTTTTTCTTTTCTCGTCCGTTTTGGCTCTAATCTCGCACCTTTCGCCACCAATTGCTCCCGTATCATTCCTACACATCACAAAACCTCAAATTAATATAAATCAACACATTTTACATCCTAAATCCACGAAACAAGAGTAAAACATGAGGCGATATACATATAAATATATATACGTTAAGCTAAATATCAGCACTCCACACTTAGACTCTTGCTCGTCCTCGAGCAATGGGACTATCAAATATACCCCCAACTACGTACAAGTCTCAACTATAGAGGAGTACTTCAACTTTTAACCATACACTCTACCCTTGACTATGATCAATACCGGCAGACAAGCATGAACATATAAAATTTCACATTCTTCCCGTTTAAGCATGCCCAAGTATAACATTTCAATTCAATCAATTCCAACAACCTATTTATAACCACCTAACCTCAAAAGCCGACTTGTAACCACTAAGCATCCTCAACTCGAGTACTCACCCAACAAGAAAGTTTACAACATTACCAATCATTCATGAGATCATGTGCCCTTACCAACAAACAAAAGAGTGAATATAGACTAGTCCACACATTCAAATATGCTTTTGAATATAAATTAAGGACATCACATAATTGAACAAAATTCACTCACTCTTACAAAGAATTCATATGCATCACGTGGTCGTACCATAAGCTTGCCCGTAGTGTACATCTCTACTAATTTAATCTAGCCAAATCTAGGATCAATTAGGACTTTAAGGTTATAATGTAGGCTAAGGGACGGGTATGATACATTTAGAAATAGTGACTAACCCTCCTAAGCACTTTAATACACTACACTTACAAATCAAGCACATCTTCTTCTCAACCAATTCACTTGCCATAAACCATATGCACATAGCCCTCTTTTCAATTAAGCACTTCTATATTCCCACTAGTACAAATTAGTAAAATTGGGAGGTGTGTATTTTTCTACATTATTTGAACTATCATTTTTTTTTTCTTCACACACTCCATACATTAAAGTTCATCGGCTAGTGACTTTTGATTTCAATTTTTGTGCACCAAAGGGCCCTTCCATGGTTCCATTCGAAAGCTACCCCCCAATCTCTTACTTTACTTCTTTTAGCGACTAAGTGCCTTAGGAGGTAAAGGTTCAACAATCTCAAATTAAGAACAAAATAGGGGTATGACTTGTAATGTGGGTGCCAAAGAAAAGGTCTATAGGCTCAAAGGGGCTAGCAACGGATTTTTTGTTTTTGTTGTGACAAGCACATCTATGATCAAGCAAGAAATGCCTACGTCATCTCCTCTATTAGTACAACTTACAATTTCGCTTCGATTAACACACGGGGCAAGTTCTAGACTACATAAGATAGCACAGGAGATCACAAATCTTCACACACACATTGCACATGACTCAATCACGACGGTTTTGTTCAACTCTCAAGTCAAGAAAGCACATATAATTGAGAAAAATTAAGCAATATTGCACTATGTGGCATACAAGTCAAACAACTGAGAAAAGGCGTCACAAAATAGGCTATTTATTTTACTTAGACGTCACAATACAAACCAAATACATGGGAAGATAGAATATATGTCATAGCCTAATGTGCCAGCATCAAACATGTCACTAGGTAGCTCCGAGCAACTCAGTTTCTTCCTATACTACACCTAAAAAAAAATAAAGTACCCGGTTCGAGCTACACCCTTGGAAAAGAACTGGCGCCCAAAGAAAAACCAAGGGATACAACCTAACTATCCTAAAAAAAATCTTTATGGTATTTTTAATCGGACTTTATCCCTCAAGAAAATTGACCAACAGATCCATCGTCGAGAAAAGTTCGAGCTTTTCAAAAAAAAAAAAATTTTAAACAAACTAGACTAAGTAAAACTAATAAAAGAAACGAATTAAAACAAATTGTTACAGGATATACAAACATCACAGGTTGTATTCCGCCTACCCCACACTTAGTTTATGCATAGTCTCCGATGCATATAAAAATGTAAAACAGAGTAGGGCGAAAAGAAAACTCCCTGTCAGTCGAAGTCCTCCTCCTCAGCGTACCCTCCATCAGCAGCTCCGGGCACATCATTATTAGGTCCTAGATGCACCAAAGCCATGGGCCCCGTAACATCATCACCAACATTGTCCTCTGTGTCTGAGCCCTTGACAGTGTTTACATCCTATGACGAGTGAACGCGGCTGCCAGGTGCAATCCCCAACATCTCCTTGGACGAGCTCGACAAGTCGAACTTGCAAAAATTATTAATTTAAAGCCTAATAACTTAAAGGACTAGAATCCCAAACTCGTAAGCTCCGTTTATAAATAGATTACATTGCTTCTTCTACGCTTGATTGGAGTTGGAGTCCTAGGAATTCAGTCCCCTAATCCAACTAACTGAATCAACAATTACATAAAAGGACTAGAATTTCGAACTCGTAAGCTTCAAATTCTAGCTCCGCCTTTGAATCAATTACACTGCTTCTTCTACTATTGATTGGAGTTGGAGCCTTCGAGATTTCAATTCCCTAATCAATTAAAAGAACTAGAATCCCAAACTCGTAAGCTTTAAATTCAGACTTTGCCTTTGAATCAATGTTTTTGCTTCCACTACTCTTGATTGGAGTTGGAGCATTTGGAATTCAATTCCCTCAACTAGCTAGCTGAACCAACAATTAGATAAATAATTGGCACTATCAGTTAACAATAAAATAAATTATTTTTTCTTAAAAAGGAAGAAGAGCATTAGAAGAGTAGACAAATTAAATGTGTATAACTATAAATAAATAAATAAATAAATAAATAACAGGGGCGCTTCCTGGTTAGTAACAATGGATTAGTTTTTTTTTTGGTAATTAAATTTATCATTAATCACCAGTAATAACATTACAAAGCATAGCTTAACTACTCCCAGCTAGCTAGATCTCAAAGCGAGGTACACAGAAAGACTATGACTACCAAAGTACCTAAACCATATTCCTATCAACAGATCCCATCTAGAAGAATAATTGTTGTACCAAACACTTTACAATTCCATTTGCTCTAAAGTTGCACATGCAGGCAACCTCCTTCGCCAGGCTAGTATGATCATTTGTACTCCCTTCAAAGACACTGTGATTCCTTTCCCTCCACAGTACATGTGTATAGATCATCTTAAGGAGTTTAGCTGGTGCAGTTTTCCCCATGGAGTATTGACAAACAAACTGGAGGTGTTCATTCCATATACTGCACTTTATGTTCTGAAGTTGTGTCCACTGAGTCAGTCTTCCCTATAGTTTTCTAGCATAATTACATTCAGCAAATAAGTGGTCTCTTGTCTCAGGATTGGATTGACATAGTACACAAGTATCATTCACATTAAGTCCCCATTTCTTAAGTCTTTCCACAGTCAATAATCTCCCTTGACACTGCAGCCACATAGTGAAAATAGCTTTGAGTCTAGCAGCATTCTGACATATTAAACTTCTCCAGCTAGTTTTTGGGTAGGTTGGTATCAGTTAGAGATAAATCTGTTTTATAGCACTCTTCTTAGCATCCAGTGGTCTTTGGAGTTGATGTATAACATCCCTTGCTTTCAAGATTTTTCTCACCATCCAGCTTGCAGTCTTTGGTATAGGCATGATTTCTGGGTTCTGCTCTTTGATGTAAAAGGCATGTATCCATAACTTGTCTTGTTTGTGAGACAAGTCCCAGTATGTTTTGGCAATAGCAGCAACATTCCACACATGTAGGTTGCTCAGATTCAAGCCTCCCACAGACTTAGGTAAGCAGACTTTGTCCCAAGCAATGAGAGATTTTTTTGTGATTTCATTTCCCCCAGACCATATGTAACTTCTACAATAAGTTTCAATCACTTTAATCACTTTAGCTGGCAAAGGGAAGAGTTGAGCCCAGTAGCATTGAATTCCAAATAGTACTGTCTGTATTAGTTGTACCCTTCCAGCATAGGATAACTTTTTTGCTGTCCATGGGTTTATTTTTGCCACTATTTTGTTGATAAATGGCTGCCATTGTATCATAGTCAACTTCTTAGTATCCAGTGGAACCCCCAAATATTTAAAGGGAAGTTGTCCTTGAGAGTAACCCAGCAACTGACAAACTTCTTATTTAACTTTATTTTCCATTCCTCCACAGTATATACCACTTTTTGCTAAGTTAGCTTGTAGCCCAGAAGCAGCTGAGAATGTTATAAAACAAGCATGTAGCCTCTTCACTGACTCTGTGTCTCCTCTGGCAAACAGTAGTAAATCATCAGCATAACTCATTTGAGTAATGTGTAGTTTCCCAGATCTAGGATGATATTTGAATCTTCTATCCTGTTTCAGTTCATTGAGAAGTCTTCTCAAATACTCCATAGCAATCGCAAAGAGGAAAGGGGAGATTAGATCTCCTTGCCTCAGACCTTTAGCAGCATTGAAAGGTTCTACAGTTTCCCATTAAGCAAGATAATGTAATTGACTGTTCTGACACATGCCATTAACTATTTTATGAACTTGTCAGGGAAAGCCAATCCTTCCAAAACTTGTTCAAGGTATGCCCATTCCACATAATCATAAGCTTTTTGTAGATCCACCTTGATCATGCATATAGGGGAGATACGTTTCCTGTTATATGATTTGTCCAACTCATGAGCCAAAATTATGTTGTAAGCTGTTCTTCTCCGAGGGATGAAGCATGTTTGTGCCTCTGATATGATGTAGCTCATGACTTTTTGAAGTCTCCCAGCCAGGACTTTAGCAATTAGTTTGTACAACATTGTGCAACAGGCTATTGGTCTATAATCTTTCACATTATTTGGATTTGCAATCTTTGGCAGCAAAGTTAGTGTAGTGCAATTAATGGCTTTATAGAGGACCCTTGTGGTGAAGAATTCTTTCATTGCCTCACACACCTCATCCTTGATGGCAGGCCAGGCTTTTTTTAAAAATGCAGTATTAAATCCATCAATTCCAAGAGCTTTGTGATCTCCAATTGAGCATAGAGCTTCATATATTTCTGTATCAGTTACTGTGGCACACAATTCTAATTGTTGAAGATGTGACAGTCTAGGTCCATTTCTCATCACCAGCATGTTGACTCAAGGTAAAGTAGTGGCAGTTGATCCCATCAGGGATCTATCAACAAACTCTGTTTTGATAGCTCTGGGATCTTGCAATTTCATTCATGTCAAAGAAGTGATTTGTAGAATTTTCTTCTGATGCTATTTTTCTTTTATGACAACTGTGAAGTATTTTGTGTTTGAATCTCCCAGCTTGATCCATGTAGTTCTAGATTTCTACTACATTGCACTTTCTTCTATCAATGACCACTTTTCTAGTTGTTGCAGGCACACCTTCTCTTGATCAACCAATGAATCAGAATAATTGTTTTGCATTTCTTGTTGGACTTCTTTCAGTGTGACCCTATGTTTGGTGATCTTCTCAGCAACTCCTTTGAACTCCTCAGAATTGAGTTGTTTGAAAGCAGGTTTCAAGTGCTTCAGTTTCAGCCATACACTTTTCAATTTACCTCCTGTTTCAATTTTTCACCACCCTTCTTCAATAATCTGCCTGAACTTTATGTGATCTGTCCATATGTTGAAGAACCTAAAAGGTACCTTGATGTTATTTTTGGGGGGTCTAAATGGTATTAATATGGGCACATGATCTGAAATAAAGGGCTCTCCAAATATAGATGTTAGATGTCCATATTGTACCATCCATTCATTATTTGTTGTTGCTCTGTCCAGTCTGCTACAAACTCTGCCTACTCCTTGTTATTTATTAGGCAATGTGTAATAGTCACCTCTCCGTGGAATTTCATTGAGTAGTAAATTGTTGTAACATTTTGTAAAGTCTTGTAATTCTGCTAAGGTAACTGGAGATCCTTGTCTATCTCGGGGATATAAAACAACATTAAAATCCCCACATAAGAGCCAAGGAGTGTTTCCTCTAGGAGCCAAGCCTTGCAAATCATCCCACAGTTCTTTCCTCTGGTCAACTGTATTAAATCCATAGACAACTGTAAGTAAACAACTCATTCCATTTTGCCTACCAGTGACATGGCAGTGAATTAGTTGAGCTGTCTCTTTGACAAATTGAATAGCATACATTTTTTGATCCCAGACCATCCATATTCTGCCATTTTTTTCATCTTTGTAGTTAGAAAGTCTTTCCCAGTTAGGAGCTACCTTGCTAGCTATATGTTATGCTTTATTTTCTTTTACTCTAGTCTCTAAGAAATCAACTATTTTAATATGATTTTCTTTGAGGTATTGCTTTAACTCTTTCTGCTTATACCTCTTATTGATCCCTCTAACATTCCAAAATAACCAGGTCATTGATCTAATCTAGTACCACCTCCTGCATCAGGAGGCTTAGTATTTGCAACTCTCTGTTCCTCCTCAGGTAGAGCTTTGAATCCATGACTTGTTGACATACCTTCATGGATTAACCTAGTCTCAGAGTTTCTAATTAAGTCTGATCTCTCAATCTGCTTGTTAGTGGAGCGTTGCTCTGTTGGTTTTTGTCCACTACTTGCACCTTTTGACTTAACTTGTATCCATCCCCCATCTGCATTCTTTTCAATTTCATTTAGGACATTTTTCCCTTTGGCTATGTTATTGTTATCTGCAAGTTGCACCATTATGATCAATTAGTTTGATCATAATGGANTATATATATATATAAACATAATTAATATATATTATGTGTAGGAAGGACATTCTCTAAATTTAATGAGCAATTGCTATTGGTCTATTGCTGATGTGGTGTCATTTTGTTGGCTGTGACATTTTCCTCCACCAGAAGGAAGAACTTAAGCTTGAGTTTAAGATTTCTAATTCTCTTTGCTCCTCTTTCTTCTCAAGTAATTTTTCGTTGATCAAACGGTGTTCAAATTACTTTCGGTTATTATTTAAGTATGCTATGTATTTTCTCCTGATACATGGATTTTCACTTGGATAATGTTGGCCCAAGTGAAAGTTTTATTTTGAAGATTGACAAAGAAAGCTCAGGCAATAAACCAGGTCCATCCCCTGTGTACACAGACACGGGTAGATTCGAGCATGAGGAATGCACGTGAAGGAGATAAGCTTAACTTGTTATATCTGATATCTCCTGATCAAAAATGTTGCATATTTGATAAGGAGAAGGACTCCTTACTCAAAGAGAACACTATCCAAGATAAAGAAGGAGTTAGAAGTTGAGGATAACTAGAACTCTTCCACTAAGGAAGAGTAGCATTAGAACTCTAGTTGTTTCTTATTCTACTAACTCTACGTATTGTAGGATGTTCTCATTCTACAGGCACGTACAAAAGCAGAAGTTAAACGTGAGTTGAGAGCAAAATAGCAAGATAATTTGCAAGCAATTTTTATGTAATTCAAGTGTGCGAACCTGAAGCTACATGAACCAGATAGAAGAACCACTTTCAAGTGTCTGTCTTTTATTCTAGTTCAATTGTAGTAGGTGGTTTTCAAATTGTATCTTTCAGCTTTATCTAGAAGCAATTGTAATAGGTACTCTGAGTATTCAAGTTAGAGTTAACTTGAAGTTGTCGCAACAGTTAGAGGCTGGTTGCCACAACGGGATTAGAGGTAATCCTTAGGTTTACAAAGAGTGTTTGTAAATGTTGTTTTGGCTCAGTGATTTAGTGAAGTATTAGGGAAAATCCTACTGAGTAG